TTAATTGTATTAGAACATAGAAATAATTCAATTTACTTCCAATACCAGCTTAAAAAATAAGAACAAACTCTATAAAGTTAATCTGAATGCACATTCACATCATTACATGAATCTATCTCGGCACGATTAATGGGATTTTATGATGAAAAGCCGAATAAGAAGTTCTGTGAATGAGTTGTTGTATTTGGCAAGACTTATTATGTTTGATAGCTCCATAATCATATTCATAACCATCAAATGACAAATAAAAAAACTCTAAAGGACAAATAAAAAAACCCTAAATGAAAACCCTTCGAAAATTTGAAACTTAGAAATCAACAAAAAATCGAAAAAAAGACATTACGAAATACTGATACATTCTCATATATGAAGCTTCTAAAAGGAGCAAAAAAAAAAACAAGAGATACAAACAACGGTGAAGAGAAGAGCATGCGGTGCATGAAGAGAAGAGCACGCGGAGAAGAGCACACGGCGAAGAAATGAATGGGGTGAACCCCTAGCCAATGATCCAAGACAAAGACATGGATCCGAGACAGCCCTAGACAGTGGCGGAGCCAGAAAATATCTCTATGGGGGGGGGGGGGGGGGGGGGGACAATTTTTTTTTTTTTCCAGAAAATATCTCTAGGGGGGGCCTAAAATTTTTTTTATTATATTATTATTTTCTTCAATTTTTTACATCCAGACTTAGGACCAATATAATCAATATTAAAAATGATAAAACTTTGTTAGTGAATTAGTTTATTTTTTTTCCTTCACAAAATGACTTCAATCATCAAATCACTCGATTTCTGCTAGAACGTGTTTAATATATTAACTAAATACGTGATATTAAATATATTAACTAAATACGTGATATTAAAAATCTCATTTCAAAAAAAAAAATCATAAAATCTCTTTAAGATCGAATCAATATAGGATTAAGCTAATATCAATCAAGAAAAAAAATGTAAATGTATATGAAATTAAATTGGGAGTGATTTGAATGGATGATCGATGTTAAATTTCTTGATCGTTGACTGTTTATTGGGCCTTTAAATGTCTTAGTGATATCATAATTTGGTGATCATGGGCTCGTTGGATTCGTCTTGTCTAGCCGCTCGATTCGACTATAAACATGTTATGTTTGGAAACCATTTTTTATGATTCCAAATTTACTCAAAATGAGAGAATTCAGAATGCATGTCCCCAAAGAATAAATACAACATTGAAATCCCACATCATTCCCGAAGTCATCTTTGCTTGCAATTGTTGGATGTATTGTTATGCCCCGTATCATGCCCCAATCCCGACCCCAATTCATGACCCCGCACCGTCATCCCTCGGCTCTATGCCATTGTCCATAGCATATGCACTACCTTAGGCCACCATCCCCACCATGTTCTCAAAAAAAAAAAAAAAAAAAAAGTTGCGGATATTGTTTACAACTTAATTAAAAAAATCAAAATATAATATATTTAATTGACACTATATTCTCAAAAAATATACATCGTAAATACTTGCAATCAAATAACCCCTAAGATGTCTACAATCTTTACATAAGCTTTGAACATCGCACTCAATGTTTGAAAGAGTAGATGCAAGCAATATGAAGCACCAATAGATGGAAGAGTTCAAAAACTCCAAAACACAGCTTATTAATTAGAAGCTCAATTTTGAACTTATTTAAAGGCCTGTTTGAGACTACGGTAGTATTTGATAAAGTTGATTGTAAAATTATTATACATAAAATAATTAAGATTTTATTTGGGATATCTTTTTTATTGATTTCTAAAATATTTTTTTAGTACAAACAATTTTAGAGCTAAAAATTTTTTAACTAAAAATATCTTAAAAATCAATAAGAGAATTGTCAAAAACGAAACTAACCTAAATTATTCTGGCTGCAAAAAATAACTTTTCATTATAAAAAAATTTTAAAATAGTAAAAAAATATAGTCAAGCTTAATTAGTCATGATTGTTACTTTAAAAATAATACAATTAAGAATATAATAGGCGTGAAACTCATATAACTGCAAGGATATCACAACAGCTCAAATTCTAGAATAAAATAGTTACTATAACAGCTCTGTAATAACTAATAACGCCCACTTCTGATTTATTCAAGGGAAAAAAATTATATTAAAATATGCTGAAGTAAATTATACCAAAATAAATTTATATTATAATAATTTTTATGTTCAACTTGATATAATTTATATAAAAATATTCTGACATCATTTTTAATTTTATTTTATTTAGGCAGGCTAAATTAGGCCAAAATGACATCAATCCAAGAGAATGGCTAATCAATCCAATAGCCACATGCCAAACAAACAAAAGAACAGAAGCAGCTAGCATATTAAAATTTTCAATTGACATTTTCTACTGCTAGATATAATTGTTTTAAGTCGGGGTCAACTAAGGGGATAAACGAGTCGAATTTAGCTTGAATCAATTTAAATTTGAACTTGATTAATTAATTAATTAAGTTCAAACTCGAGTTTTATTTTACAAGAGCGAGCTGGCTTATTTCTTATAAAAAAAGAGAAATTATTATTGTTGCGTCTTGGAATATTCGCGGCGGTAGAGAAATATATAGTTTAACGTCTTATTATTATACGAAGATCCAGCATTCAATCAGATAAGAGAGAGGGTGAAGCGTTCATAAGAGACACCCGAGTTTTTACGTGGAAACCCCTGAAAAAAAGGGGGGAAAACCATGGGGCCTCGCCCAGTTTGAATGAATCCACTAGTATTTGTAGTCGATTACAAATGAGGTCGAGTTTTTCCTTGGGAGAAGGCCTTAGCTTGATGATACAAATGTGCATCATATAGAGTGCATTACATGGTGGGAGTTACCATATAGACATGTTTGTTTGGTCAACATGACCATAGTCGGTAGGATGGAGACCGGAAAGATCGTTGTCTGGTGATGGAGGTAGAAAGGACCATAGTCGGCAGGAGACCACGGTCAGAAAGACCACTGTCTAGTGATGGAGGTCGGATGAACCATAGTAGGTGACAGAGGTCAGAAGGATCGTAGTCGGCAGGAGACCAGAGTCAGAAAGACCGTTGTCTGGTGATGGAGGTTGAAAGGACCGTAGTCAACAGTAGACTAGGGTCAGAAAGACTGTAGTCTAATGATGGAGGTCGGATGGACCATAGTAAGTGATTGAGGTCAGAAGGGTCGTAGTCGGTAGGAGACAAGGGTCAGAAAGACCGTTGTCTAGTGATGGAGGTCGGCAGTATTTTGGGAGAACTTTGGGCATCAAATGGTGGCCTAGTGGAGCTCAAGGCCTCAAGTAGTGGTCCGGCGGAAGTTCGAGCCTTAGCTGATGTTCTGGTGGAAGTCCGGGCCTCAGGTGGTGGCTTGGTGGAGCACAGGGCCTTAAGTGGTGGTCCGGAAGAAGTCTGGGCCTCAAGTGGTGGTCCAGTGGAGCAACGGCGTTAAGCGGTGGTCCGGCGGAGGTGAGGGCCTCCAGTGGTGGTCCGGTGGAGCAACGTCATCAGGCGATTGTTCAACGGAGGTGAGGGCCTCAAGTGGTGGTTCGGCGGAGCAACGGCGTTAGGCGGTGGTCCGGTGGAGATGAGGGCCTCCAGTGGTGGTCCGGCTGAGCAACGACATAAGGCGGTGGTTCGACGGATGTGAGGGCCTCAAGTGGTGGTCCGGCGGAACAACGTCGTCAGGCGGTGGTCCGGCGGAGGTGAGGGCCACAAGTGGTGGTTCGACGGTGGTCGAGGAAGGCGAGGGCCTCAAGTTGTGGTCCGGCAGAGCAATGACATCAAGCGGTGGTCCGGCGGAGGTGAGGGCCTCAAGTGGTGGTCTGGCAAAGGTCCGGCAGTGGTCCGGCGAAACTCCGGCAGTGGTCGAGCAAGGCGAGGGCCTCAAGTTGTGGTCCGGCGGAGCAACGGCGTCAGGCGGTGGGACTTTGGTGTTTTTCAATTCACTTTTATTTTTTTGTATTTTATTATTTTTTTTGCACTCTAAAGTTTATGGTTAAAAAAGCTTTTGATATAATCATATCTAAATAACTGCATACTCAAGGATCATTGCTAAAAAATTGTATTATAAATAGTTTTAAAAAATCCAAGATTTTTTTTTTTAATTACCATTCCTTTCTTCCCCCCCCCCCCCCCCCCTCTTTTGAAGAGAAATTAGGGGTCTATTTATAGATTTCTGGAGTTGCATGACCTGTAAATAGGTGAGAGATCAAGGGTAAATGGGGAGTGGTTGCATGGACGGCCGATGTTGAATCCCTTGATTATGAACCATTCGTCAGACAATTGAAGGTCTTAATGATGTCGGAATTCGGCGATCTTGAGCTCGTTGGATTCTTCTCGTCGAGCCGCTCGATTCGATTATAAGCTAGTCAAGTTCGAAAACCATTTGGTAACCCAATTTGTGGTTCGAACCTTCCAACAACGCTTCGGGTCCTTGATTTGTACTCATTTGGGCTCGGATTGAGTCGAATTTGGTGTCGTTGGGTTCGTATTTCCTAGACGCTCAGTTCGACTATAAGTTTATTGAGATCGGAGTTGAGATGGTATCCGAATTAATTTTTGAAGTTTCCAACTTAATTTTTGCCTCGAGATTCGTGCCCGAACAAGATAATTTTTTGATGATACATGAATTATAATTTAAATAATTATTAAAATAAAATGATAAAAAAAGAGAAATTATAAAAAAGAAAATAAAAAATAAAAAAGCGAGATATAATTTCTAAATATTTTTAATAACTTTACACCTAAAATCCTGAATCTTAATATATTTTAAGTTTTTTTTATATTAATATAGTTTTAAAAGCTAAAGACTTATGCAGGAAAAGGCTCAGGCGTAACTCTTTAACTCATTGAGCTTGGCTCACGGGTCAACTTGACTCACATCCCTAATTTCAACTTTAGGGTGTTTCACCATAAAAACTGATGTGTTATAAAGATGTAATTCATCTTGCTTTCAAAAAGAATATTTATTCCACAAAGAACAACAAATCTCATTTCATTTGAAATATTCAAATTGTATAAAATTCAATTAATTTGACTTTTAATCCAATACAAACAACACAATGTATATGATCTTGCCATTCAAACAGAGACAGATCAGTAATATAATTGTAATGCACTGCATACTATCAGTGGAAAATTATAAATATTTCTTGTGCGTGGAATCAAACAAAACCTATGCAGAATCCATTAAAAAGAAAAAAAGAAATTTCAAGGAAACTGCCCAAACACAAAACTAAGCTGATTCTAACTACATCTGTAGACTAAACTTCCACCTTTCTAAATTAGTTCAGCCGTTTGTAAAATGGCTGAATCACTGAGGTTAGATAAATACACAAATCTGGATTAACCAAGTTGCCTCTAATGAGATTTCAGGGCCATAACCTATCAACTGCCTCTCATATCCTGCTTGTTGTGGCTGAAGTAAAACGCCAAGAAACAAGAAGGGAGAAGAAGCTAGTCTTGAACTTCAGCTGGGCAGAACTGCTTCCACACAGAGATCTCTTCCTTCTTTTGGACCTTCCTAATTCCCCCATAAAACCCATCTTCATTCCCATCTTCTCTATATTCTTTCCGATTAATGATTTTCCTCCTCCATCTTGATCCTGGAGCGTAGTGGTTGAACTCCAACACAATGGTATCTGCAATTGAAAAAACTCAACAATGAGGTTCATATCCATATTTTGTACTTGGACGTTCATATTCATACTATGTGAAATAACGCAAAAGCTGAAAATTAAGAAAGAAGAAGAAATGAACTGGAAATCAAGCATTCATAAATGCAAAATGGCCCATTTTGCTGATCATTTTAGCTTAGGACGCCTAGTAACATGAACATATTGAAGAAAGTGTTCAGCTCATTAATTTCGCTCCGTGAAGGTTATGATGTGTTGGAAAAGCAAAGTTTGATTTTCATATAAAGTCAAGTCCAACTCAATGACAGTTTCCAAGACTTCAATAAGCCATTATGGTCCTTGTGCATGGCAGCACATCTGCTTTTTTAATCTAGTTATCAAGATCTGGGTAAAAGAAAAACGATGGATTAAGCCCTTAACTAAGAAATAAGTGTAGTACCTTGTGGTGAAACTTCAAAATAAAAACTAAAATACAAACAAGTAAACGAGCGGAGAAGTCCATAAATTTGCTTTTGCAACCACACAGTGCAGTGCTATTTCAACTTAGACAAACTCAGAAAGACAAGTTGCTTGCACATGCACTCTTTTTTTATAGGCAGGTCAGAACTGAGAGGTTAAAAAAAATTGGCACTAAGGTACTGGTAGGCGTTTGGGTTTCTTACTGATTCTTAAAGCAATTTCTAGTACAAAAAATAAATTTTTTTTACTGAAATCTGCTTTAAGAAGCAATAAGAAAGCCATCCCAAACGAAACATAAATCTGATATTTGTGGTGCTAAATTTAACATATTGGTACTTTCAAGAATTTAAAGATGAAGGATGTTAAGGAGTCCCTGGTAAAGAATACAATGCAAGGATCGAGTTAAAATCAATTTGCAGAGACTTGGAAAAATGCTTTCCAATAAGCAGAAACGCCTAGGAATTATCAAATTGGAGGAAAAAACAAAGAAGTTTCTTATATAGTATTTAATCTATGGATTAATGAAATTGCAAACATTTCCTACAATAAGGATTGAAACCTGTAAATTTCTCCTGAGCTCTATGCTCCTCAACGATAAAAGTAAATCAATCAAAACGGATAAGATATGTACCGCTAGCATGACAACAGCAGCGATGTTCATCTCTGTCACAAACTTCCAAATGACCAACAACTCCATACCACCAGCCTGCCAAACAAACGCAAGTTAATTGTAGTAAAAAATTTGGCTGAGCCAAAAATTTTATGAAGGCCATAATGCTTGGAGTAATTACCGAATGGGAACTTTTTGTTCCTTCTCCACTGAATCTCAATATGATCACCAGGATTCAATTCAGTTAAACAGTCTGAGATGTGAAGATCATGAGCCGAAGTACCAATAGGAGCTCTTACTCTCTCCCATGTCACTTCCTCTATCGCTGGAACTCTTTTACCATGTGGTGGATACCTATCAAATAAGAAAAGCAACAACATCAGATACAAATTACCTATAAAGATATGTCTATCATGTAAAAAGGCGTTTGACACAACTAACAAAGGATAAAGAAGAGTCATTGAGTTTTAACATTTGGTTCAGTTAAGACAAATTTACACACACATCACATACGTAATATTCGAATCCAAAATCGCTTGGTTGGTAGCCAAAGCTCCCAACCAACAGATCAAGAACCATAAGTTGATGAGACAGCAAATAAAAATCCCATCAGAAAGCTAAATCAGTTTCGTTTGCAAGATAATTATGAAGAAGGAAAAAATAAGACATGATTCATACCTGGCATAGAACTTGTTTGTGCGAGAATTGTAACTAATCTCCGCATCATAACATGACAGCAAAAACCCAGCATTTCCATTCTGCAAAAGAAGCACCAAAACAAGACATAATATTAGCAGAAAAGTACCATGAGAAAGATAAAATTATCTGAAACCAGGAATTAAATCACCATTACCATACATAAAAATGAAATAATAATTTTTTTTTGAAACCATAAGGAGTGGCAACTAAAATATGAAAGAAGCAGAAGATTTCAGCCCATCAATCAATACCTCACGATTATAAACCTGAGCTGGAAAATAGAATCTGCCACTCTCTAGCGCCTGATAAAAAGAAATGAGCGAATCGACCGGCAAAATTCTCCAAGGCTTTCTTCCATCTTCCATCTTGCGCTTAAGCCATGAAAGAGGCCACAAACAACCCAACCACCCCATCCACCCCTTCGATCTAACTCCTCCGGTTTCCTCTCCAACGTCAAAATCCCTCCTTAACGCAACCTGCATCTCCCACTTCCTCCACGCCTCTTCCCCTACAACTCTGCTCCACTTCTCCTTCATATGCCTCTTCCATAAATGATCACTCGTGCACCTCTCCCTCAAATAGCTACAAACGCCAGACATTTTGCAGAGCTCGGCCGGCGACAGCTTTTCCAAAATGCATTCTATTGTTAGCTCTGGCAGATCAAGCATCGTCATCGTCGCCAAAGCTGACTCGGCAACTTCCCCTCCAACTTCACCCTGTAAGGAACCGCAATCCCTGAAAGGCATTGCAGGTGGAAAATTGAAGTTTACAGTCCTTGATATGCTCCAGTTCTTGACCCACTCAAAAGAGTGGTGCATGGCTTCCCGGCAGAGCAAGACTGCCAGAAGCGCAAGTTCATAGACCCATGAAGGGAACACAGGCTTGTGAGGAAGAGGCCTGATGAAGAGAAGCAGGAAGGGAAGGAAGGGTTTTAGGAAGAGAGACATTGGCAGTTCTTGTAGCTGAAGCCAATGATATTGTGAAGAGACAGTTCAGGGTTTATAAGAGAGAGGCTTGTTTGGTTTGTTGGTAGTTGAGAGATGGTTTGTATTAGGTTAACTCCACAGACAGCTCATAGGCCTACTTTGTGAACAAGTGAAAATGAAGAATATTTTAAGGGGGTTTACATATAAATATTTAATATATTATTGTTTATATTTAATTATAAAATATGTAAGTTTTTTAATTATATTAAAATATTATTAATATTTATTTTTATAAAGAAAATACATTTTTATTAATATACTTGAGACATTAAATTAACATATAAATAAATAAATAAAATTATGAATTATGTATATTAATAAAAAAGCTTTTATGATATGCATGTAAATATTAAAAAATGAAAAGAATTTGAATTAAGGGTTTATTTGGAAAAGTTACAGTTTTTTATAAATTTAAAAAATAATTTAGCTATTCTAATAGTAAAAAATAACTTTTCATCCTAGAAAATTTTGAAAAACAATAAAGACATTGTAAAAAAAAAAATTATAATTGTTATTTACCAAACAAAATAGCAAAAAAATTATCCTAAAAAAATCTTAAAGGTCACAAATTTGTGATATTGCTTATTATTAAAAAATATTAAAAATAATTTTCATCTTAATAATTTTTAAAAATTGATATATGATGATGCCAAGTTTTAAATTATATTTTGAATTGAATACAAATATATTATTACTTTATTAAATAATTTAAAATAATCATTTTTATTATTTTAGAATTTTTCTAAAAACTAAATGATGAACCATTCACATGTAGTCCAGATCCGATTTGCCACGTCTGGTCCAGAGAGCGGCTGCCAGAGAGGCGCCTATTTATCATCAAAATAAAAGCATATAAAGGGATAAAATATTAAACTATTTTGACTTTAATAGAAGGAAATAATTAATTAATTTGATGCATACATCAAATTTGGAAAAATATTTTTCGTGATAGGAAGAAAATGGAAATTCGTTCGAAGATCATACGTAACTGTGTAGCTCATTTTGGTTTCTCAAAGAAGAATGAGTTTATTATATTAAAATATAAAGGATATATAATAAAATTATGTATATATTTTGCCGGTTGAACTGCCAGTTCAATATGGTTCATGTCTAAAGAGATTTTTATAAAATTCCGGACTAGCTGGCGGTCCGATTCATGATTCAAGCAGTTGAACCAGCTGGTCCGGTCCGATTTTTATTATATATATATATAATGTTAAAAAAATATATTTTTTATTATATGTATATAACGTTTAAAACATTATATTTATTTATGTAAAGTCTAGCTGATGACTAAGAATCCGTTTGAGACAGCTACAGTGTTTTATAAAAGTGGTTGTAAACTTATAGTAGAGAAAGTAGCTTTTTCAAAACATTGTATAAAGCAGCTTCTTAGCATAAAAATTATTTAAAAGCAATGAAAAAATAGTACAAAAAAAATTATGGTTGCAGTTTGAAAAATAAAACAGTGAGAAAACTGTCTGAAATGAAGCCTAAATCACATCAAAATATATAAATATCTATATTCACCCAATCAAGCATACATCATAACGGAGGTTTATAAATCTCAAAGTGGCCAAATAGTTTAGTTAAGAACTTTTGAAAATAGCTAAAAAGCCATTTAAACTCCAATTATTGTCTCTTATAGTCAAAATGAGTGTCTCAAGAAGATGAAATTGATATGAATCTAAGATCAACCAATTCTGGCATTACTAAGACACTTAAATACTAAGAAAATATTATATAATTAAGTTGGATAAACACATATCATACTATAGAGTATTATAATTTTCATTTTAGATGATCAAAGTGTTCATTTCTAAAAAATTATGACTAAGCCTCAATTCTATATGTTTGTGGAGGCTATGATCATGTCACAAGAAGGATTATAGGGGAGAATCCATTACTTCAACGACAGGCACTCTAATACATGTATCAATATTGATGTTGTCATTCAATGTTGCCATAAAGGCCGACGCCTATCATCATCAACAATATCAACATCCACAAATCCCTAACATCAAAACAAATGCATATGCCCTCCATCACCAACAAGATAGGCATCTACCATCGACACTAGTGGCATATTCATCATCAACAATAAGTAGAATGCTTGTTATCGATAGTAATGCTGACACTCTTCATCTTCACTAAATTAGATTATTGCCTTCTTCGTCGTCATTGATCTTCTAGCTTATACGAAGAACAAATGATCAAAACACAATGATTACTAGATGACATGTTCACCTACTTTAGACTCCTCCTAATTATATTTTAAATATAGTCTTTCATAATATATATGTCTTCTAGATGCTTATATATATATGTCTTCTTCAACCAGGTAGAAGGATGTCATTTTAACATACAACTTACACAAATGAATAATTTCAACCAAGCTATATCTCGTGGTCTTTCTCATTCTTGAAATTTTAAGTTACTATCATTTTTTATTATTTATGAGATTTTCATACTATAATAAGTTGATAAACTCTCTATCATAAAAAATATTTCTACACGCAACAAGAATGGTATATATATATATATGAGAGAGAGAAGGGATCTTGAAATATTGAGGCAAAAAATGCTATAAGAAAAGATCCAGAATAAAATAGAAGAACTATTCAAAGTCTTATCCAACCCTCTGTCTCCACCTCATTGTCCTAATTAATTAACAAAATTATTTACTATTATCTGATAAATAAATACTATCTAATGGAAATAAACAATAATTTTTAAATCAAAAGACAAAAACCTTTTCATTTTATTAAGCATCATTTATGTTAATTGAAAAGTATGAAGGGGGTCTTAATCTAAATGGTTATGTGGTGATATTTATTTATTAAGATATTTTAATATGATATCGATCCGAAAATGTTAAAATTCATATCTCCATCATATGATTTATATAAAAAAAAAAATTAAAATATCATTTGTTGAAGAGCCTATATATTAATAAACCCTAATAAATCAAGGTAAGGATCCTCCCTTCCATTCTTAATAAATTTTAGATAATAATTAGATATTTTACAACACTTTTTTCTCAAAAAAAAAAAAAAAAAAAAAAAAAAAAAAAAGAAAAAAAAAAGAAAAAGAAAAGCAACCCTCAATGTTCCATATGTCATCATATACACAGAAGTAAACGTTGAAACTTTAAGTAGATATCAAAATGCCAATTCTTATTTTTTAAATTTGAAATCGTGTAGGTTTTTATTTGGTGGTCTAATTAAGGATGAAATAGAAACAATAAGAAAATTTTGTCTATTTCAGTACATTATTTAATTGTGGATTTTAATAATTTTAATATCCCTTTTGATGTTAGAATTTTGAATGGATGAAGATTTACTCAAGTAATATAGTTTTATGGAAGAAAATTAGGCTTAAAATAATTAAATTGGTCTGTTAGACTTTTTAAATAAACTCATTCCTTTGATGCAAAGGAGGACTTGTTTCTATTCTGATTGCTTTCCCTTGAAGTTCATTTGGTGAATCAAGACCCTTTAGGGTCAATGACTTGAGCTATTGATAGTCTTTTTTTGGTGGAATTATTACGTGCGGTGACCGGATATTATCCGGAGGCAAATCAGGGTGCGCCATATCATCATTTTGTTGTGTACTGGTGACATGGCACATCCTGATTCATCTTCGAACGGTTTGATGACTGAACGTAATAATTTCTCCCTTTCTTCAGATAAGATAATGTAATTGTATAGTCATATGTTTTTATACATGCATTTTCAAGTACCTAGCAGGTTCTCGCAGGGCAACTCGTTCAAGGTAGTCACATCATCTTCTTCAAGTGCTTGCAAGCATGAGATGCGACTCATCCAAATCGACGAAGTCTAAGGGTTAACCCAAGCACATATATTTGTGCAATATCTTCCGGATCATTTGCCATAGAAAGAACTATCAAACTCCCACTGATAGCTTCTCATCTACCATCTGCTGTATTTTAATGCATTTAAATTTCATCATAAAAAAATTGTATTAAATTATCTAAAATACATTAATTTGATAGATCTTCAACAAAACATTCCCTTGGTCATTTTTTTTGGGAACAAGTACCTACCCGTTGCCACTTCAAAGAGAACGTTTGACGGCGTAATTAATCTATCGGCAGAACCTAACGAGACAACCCACCAGCATCAGACCTATATTTTTTTTGCCTCAATGAAAAGGTGAGGCCTTAGTTAAATTACAATCAGCTAAAAATGGCCCTCGCCGACTGTCACCACCTTACAGGCTTTCAGCTGTCCATTAAAAACGACTGAACAAATTCAACTCTAATAACTAAACTTTGAGTGGCTGAGAAGCCACAGAAGACTACGAACAACATATAGGAAAAGGCAAAAAAAAAAAAAGACCCTTTTGTCAAGTATCACCCTAACAATTACATTTATGATGGAGGTGCCAAACACAGCCTACTTTGCAGGCTAATAATATTACATTAAATGCCAGCATTAAAGTCAACCAACTTCTTTTGCCATTTGTCAAGAGGAGGAAGAAAGTGCTGTATTTTGTTATAAGAGAATTTAAAAGGATGAATATTATTTTCTTATATATATATAGAAAATTGCATATATTCAAATGTTTATGATTTAATTTTTTATATGTATTTATTGGACACTTAATATTTGAATTATATCAAAATATGTGAATGAAGAATTACATTTTATTCTAGAATAATTAAAAGTTTGTTTGGAGAGCTGTATCTTTTTATAAAGTTGATAATGAAATTCTTATAAAGAAAATAATTTAATTATTTTGATTTCAAAAAGCAACCTTTAATCATACTTCTTAAAAAAAAAGAAAAACAAATTTGTTTGGAATAATTTTCTTACTATTATCTATAAAAATTTTTAGTACTAACATCTGTTAAAAGCAACAAAAACATATGATCAAAAGCTGTTCTAAATAGACCTTAAATTTTGCGATATCTTTGATGTGGTTCAAATATTAGAATATTGAATAACTTAATATAATAATTTAGATATTAGATAAATAAATCTATA